AGTAATTTTCGTAGTCATTTCATAGTATGATAAATTCAGTGATTAAATCAGATTTACGAAGATTATAATAAACCCTCTTTAATAATTTTTTGAAGATGTCCCTGTTTTATAATACACCAAGATGAACCCAGTCGTTTTATCTTTAACCGGTCCCAGGACTTTTTCTTTTTCTTTTAAAATTTTCGTGGGCTAGTCTGAAACATGTTGGCCAGGTCGTTGTCCACTAAAATGTGCATAATGCATTTTAAAACGACCAAGAGATAATAACAGGGGAAACTGTGCGGAATACTACTGCTATATTATGAAGATTTATGTCCAATAGGTGGATATGATGTCAAATTAATGTATTCCAAATGTTCAAAAAGCTTGTCTTTTTTATTTTCGTAAAAAAGAATATTTGTATGATACTTTTTAGTTATTTTTGTTTTTTTTTTGTTTTTCTTTTTTTGTGTAGTAAGTTTATATGCTGATACAATATTATGGTTTAGGCTTCATAGTATCGCTCTTTTTACTAGACGAATATAATTCAAAAAATTTTAAAACAGGTAGAAGTTTGTAATGACTTAAAGTAAATTGCTCTGGTAATAAAATTATGAAACACTTAACTTCTAAATTAAATGAAAAAAATCTTTTTACAACATTAATAAGAAGTTAATTACAGTAATTCCCTTTGACATAAATTCATGTGCACTGCATATTTTATGCGAAAATGTTTGTTTGCGTAGCAGTTTTACATTTTTTGCTAATCATTAAAGGCAGTTCCATCTAAAAGCTTTAGATTTTTGAAACATATTTTTATTTTATATTTTTCTGCAAAATATTTGTTATAACCAGTTTTTCTAAACTGTAATAATTGATCTGTATAATTAAAAAAAAACGAGGAATGGCAAAATTAAAGTTTCACGTTATAAGTTTTCAAGATTAGGCTCTAGCTATCGAAACTCCATAGTGGCCGATTAATAAAAGGAAAAACTTGTATTGATTTCATGAGAATCAGAAAAATTGGCAAAAATCTCCCCACGTATATTTATTTAACGCTTTTATAAAAACTCAGTTTATTTGCGGTAAAATACAAAAACTGCGCACAAAATCTGCACTCTTTACGTTTAAAGCGCATTTTGATTGTGTCGATAGGATACTCGGATCAAAAGATATCGAATTTTTACCGTCGAGCTAATGTATTGAACATTAATTTCATACGTGTAACTGACATTAAAAAATTACCGATCGCTTCAGACGTTGTTTTTGAGAGAACGGTTGATTCTACACAAAAAATGCCAATAAAAATAATTGAAAAAATTCAAAATTATCTTAGCTACATTTTTGATTTAAAATATTTTTTCTATGGAGTACAGATTTTTGGTAAATCGATTTTTTTATCGTTTATTCCACTCTAGGAGGGGACTCTTAGGAGAATGCTCGAGAGTAAAAATGGTAAACTTTTTTGCATCCTTTTTGGCGTCCTTAAATTGACATTCTTAGGAAAATTCAGCTTGTTTGTATGATTTTTAGAGGTTCGGAGGCATTTTCGTCTTTGACGAGACGAATGTCGAAAGACGATGTTTTTCTTTTGAACCTATTCTCTATCCTTCCATTGTTGGATATAGGTCTCCCCCAGTTCTCTCCATCTTTTCCTATCTTGAGCTGTTCTCTGCCATGTGGGACCTCCTTGTTTCCTGATGTCATCTTTCCACCTCATCTGTGGTCTGTCTCTTGATCTCTTTGCATTGTATAAACGCCACTTTCCGATGGCATTGTTCCACCGTCCGTCTTGGAGACGTTCATTGTGTCCAGCCCGTTTCCATTTCAGTTTTGCTGCTTGTTCTATCGCTTCTACTGTCTTTGTTCTCGTTCTGATCCACTGGTTACGTTTTCTATCTTTAAGTGATATACCCAACATTTGTCTCTCCATCGCTCTTTGTGCCTTCATTATTCTATCCAAATTGGCCTGTGTAAATGTCCATGTCTGTGCTCCGTAGGTGAGCACCGGTATTGTACATGAGTTATATATCTTGCTTCGTAAGTATAGAGGGATTGTTTGATTTTTTAGAACGTAAGAAAGTTTGCCGAACGCTGCCCATCCCATTCTTACTCGTCTCGATATTTCGGCTGTTTGATTTTCTCTATTAGCTCTAATTGCTTGTCCTAGATAGATATACTCATTTACCTGTTCTATTTTTCTGTTTTTATTTTTATTGCCTCTTGGTCTTCCGTGTTTGTCATTACTTCCGTTTTGTTGAAGTTAATTTTTAGGCCTTTTTGCAGTGATTTTTCATGAAGTTCATTCAGCATTAATTCCAGTTCTTGTCGTTCCGAGGAGATCAGGAGTATATCATCCGCATATCTAAGGTGATTTAGGTATTTTCCGTTAATACATATTCCTCTGTTTTTCCAATCTGTTGATTTTATTATGTCTTCGAGGGTCAAGGTAAACAGTTTAGGTGAAATTATGTCGCCTTGTCGGACTCCTCGTTTAACTTTTATATTATCCGTTATTAATTTGTCTAACAGAGTTACGGTCATGGTTGCGTTTTGGTAAATATTATGTATCAATTGTCGGTAATTTGAATCTATTCTACTATTGACCAGAGCTTCTTCAACCGCCCAGTGTTCAATGCTGTCAAAAGCCTTTTCATAATCTACGAATGCTAAGTACAGCAGAAGGTTGTATTCATTGGTTTTCTCAATTAAGATTTTAAGCGCATGTAGATGGTCGATTGTGCTATATCCTTTCCTGAATCCGGCCTGTGCCACTGGTTGGTAGTTATCAAGTTTATAGGTTAGTAGGTTATTTATTATTCTTGTGAAGGTTTATATAGTTGTGACAAAAGGGAAATAGGACGGTAGTTGTTTAGGTCTGTTCGGTCTCCTTTCTTATGTGTTAAGATTGCATTGGCATTTCTCCATTGTTTAGGTATTTACCTTCAAACAGACTTTTGTTGAACAGTATTTTTAGCATTTTTTTTATCGTGTCTCCTCCTTTTTTTTAGCAGTTCCGCCAGTATTTTGTCCTCACCGGCTGCTTTATTTCTTTTCATGTCGTTTATAGATTTTTTAATTTCATCTTCAGTTATTTCTGGTAAAACCTCTGAGCCAACATTTTGTATATTCCTCGAGAGATTCTGTTTAGATGATAGTGGTGGGTTATTTTTAGAACTGTATCATCATCATTCAGCCCATACTCGTCCACTGCTGAACATAGGCCTCCCGTAGTTCACCCCACAAATTTCTGTCCTGAGCCGCCTGCATCCAATTTTGATGTGTCCGTTTCAGTTCATCCGTCCATCTTGTTGGTGGTCGTCCTCTATTCCTAAAGGCATCTTGTCTGGGTCTCCACTCAAAAATGCGTTTTGTCAATCTGCCGTCCTTCGTTCTCGCGACGTGCCCTGCCCAGTTCCATTTTAAGGTTGATATTCTTTTGATTGCGTCGGTTACTCCCGATCTACGGCGCAATTCTGTGTTGGGTATTCGGTCTCTCAGGGTTAATCCCAACATGGACCGTTCCATTGCCCTCTGTGTTGTTCGAATTTTGTTTGCGGACGTCTTAGTAAGTGTTAGCGTCTCCGCACCATAGGTTAGAACCGGCAGCACACATTGATCGAAGACTTTTCTCTTCAAGCAGATGGGAAGAGCTGATTGGAAAACATCTCTTAGCTTTCCATAAGCTGCCCATGTCAACCCTATTCTACGTATTAGTTCATTGGTCTGGTTATCTCTGCTTAAGCGAATTTCGTGTCCCAGATATTTGTATGCTGATGTTTGTTCTATACTTGTTCCAGCTATGTTGATGTTCTCACTCAGAACAAGGTTTGTCATCACTTGTGTTTTTGAGTTATTGATCTTTAAACCCACTTGTGTAGAGGCATGGTAGAGTCTTTCGCACATTTCGATGGCATGATCTATGCGGTCTGTTATCAGGACTATATCGTCCGCGAACCTGAGGTGACTAAGCTGCTCTCCATTTATGTTTATGCCCTTTTCGTCTAGGTTTGCACGCTTACACATGTATTCCAATAATGTTGTAAACAGTTTTGGTGAAATGGTGTCGCCCTGGCGAACTCCACGATGAATGTTGAACTTGTGTGTATCTTCATGGAGTCTGACGCATGCCGTGGCATTATCATAGATATTTTTGATGACAGTGGTGTAGCGGTGATCTATTCGGCACTCTTTTAAAGCTTCTAGCATTTTCTGGTGGTTTACTGTGTCGAATGCTTTCTCATAATCCACAAATATTAGGACGAGGGGTTTATTGTACTCTATACATTTTTCGATGAGGCTTTTAATAACTTGTAGATGGTCGTTTGTGCCGAAGCCTGACCTGAATCCTGCCTGTTCGCATGATTGGTAAAAGTCCATTTTGTTCGAAAGTCTGTTTGTTATGACTTTTGTAAAAAGCTTGTTAGAACTGTATAGGTCTGTATAATATCTTTCTGTGATTTTTACTATTTCTTCTATATCTCTTTCTTCATTGTTCTCAGCTTTAAGCATGATTAGTTTTCTTTTTCCTATATTTTTGTCTTCATTGTTTTTAAACTTTTGTTCTTCTCTATGATTTTCTTAATGCGATCTTCTTGGTATTTCTTTAAATCTTCCTTTATCTGTTTTCTTATAGTTTTGTTCAGTTCGGTAAACTACACTGTATTTCTTTTGTTATCATTTAAGAGTTGTCGTCGTTTTTTTAGCATATCTTGTGATTTAGCGCTAATTTTTTTGTTGTTTTCGCTTTTGTTTATTAGCAATCTTCAGGCCTGCTTCTAGTAGTTCTGTTGTTATTTCATCGTTTAATTCGTCTAGTTGCAAACCCTTTAGCTGTGATATGTCACTTAATTTTAGCTGGTTTATGTATTGTTCTTTGCGTTCTTTAAGACGATGTAGGTATATTCAAATATTGTCATTGAACAATTCTAGAATATTAAGAAAGAAAAAGAAACAAGGAAGACCATGAACAACATTTACCCGTGAAGTTATTAATTAGTAAATAATTTGATCTTTTTAAGGTATCGTGTTCTCAGATGGCCAATTTTGGCAAAACCAAAGGAAATTCTCTATTCAACACCTCCGCAATTTCGGTTTTGGAAGACGGGAAATGGAAGAGAAGATCCACGAAGAAACTCGCGCCCTAATTGAGCATTTTAAAAAGAACGATGCTGAGCCAGTTTTCATGCACAATGCCTTCGATATTTCTGTACTAAACGCTCTTTGGGCCATGATGGCAGGACAACGGTTCGAAACTGACGACGAGAGGTTAAGAAAACTTTTGCAAATCATTCACGATGCGTTCAGATTGGTAGATATTTCTGGGGGATTATTGAATCAAATGCCTTTTTTGAGGTATATAGCTCCGGATGCTTGTGGGTATACGCAGATTAGAAATATTCTGGAGAGAATGTGGGATTTTTTAGAGGTAATTATTTAATTTTGTCTTAATTTTGACACAGCATTTTAATTCCACAGTTTACTTTTTTATTTTGTAAGAAAAATACGTTTTTATTTCTCAGGAAACGATTGAAGAACATAAAAAGACAGTTTCAGATTCGCAGCAACCAAGAGACCTTATCGATGCATTTTTACAAAAGATTGATGTTAAAAGCGATCCAACTTTTACAGGTAATTTGCTCTTATACTATAGATATATTGTTAATCTGTGTTTTCTTTGTATTATCTTAGAAAACAATAACTTTAACTCAATAGTTAAATATTTGTTTATCCCAATACCTTTTTAACTATTGTCTACAAGAAAATTATTACAGATTACAGATTACTGATTAAAAAAAAGAAAAAGTTGTCTGAGGATAATTTGAAACGAAGTTAATACCTTTTTATTTTAATTCGCATCACCTTTGCTCATAACAAAGAGGAGATCTCATTTGCAGCATTGGAAAGAATTTACTTTAAAAATTTAATATGCTAAATTCAAGATTTATCTGAACTACAAGAAGAGCAGCATAATATATTAATATTAATGTCAGTTTTTTTAACTATATTTAAAAGAAAACTATTTTTAGACGATCAACTGATGTCATTGTGTTTGGATCTGTTTATGGCAGGAGCCGAAACAACAAGTAACACTTTGGGGTTTGCCATGATGACAACCGTACTTTATCCTGATTTACAAAGGAAAATTCAGGCAGAAATAGATAAAGAGGTGGGAAGAAATCGCTGGCCAACACTAAACGATAGGATCAGGTATTTTTTGATATCTAACATCTGATTTTTTCGTCTAAATTTACTTTTTTTAGATTAAAATACACAGAGGCATTTCTGATGGAGCTTCAAAGGCGTGTAACTATAGCACCTCTGGGAATTGCACATAGAGCTGTAAGAGATACCGATCTTTACGGATATCTCATTCCGAAAGACACGATAATTTTGACGAATTTATTCAGCGTCCACATGGATGAGAATTATTGGAAAGATCCACACGCATTTAGACCCGAACGGTTTTTGACTGATCATGGGGATATCTTTGTTGATGATAAACATTATATACCTTTCGGTAGTGGTGAGTAAATAAATATAAAAAACTAGTATACCAGTATAAGAAATTTTCGATAACTACCTGACGTAGTAAAAATTAGCTGACGGCATAATATTTAACACGATGAAGAACACTGAGACAAGTTTGACCATATACGTACCACATGCACATACTTCCCAGGCCATCTTACGGACATTGTATGAACTAATTTTGCCATAACACTTAGATAACTTTACATCTTATAGTTCTAATACAAGTTTGTGTAATACTTAACTCGTTTTTAACGCCCTTTAACAAATATTTTTTAATCTTCTCAAACCCAGTGTCTATTACAAAAGACAAATTTATAGAACTCAAATAAATTTTATACTAAAAATGGTTACTATATGAAACTTCTAATTTTCTTATTCTGTTTAACGTACAATAACAACATAAAGGTAAAAATATACTAACAATAAGATATCATTCTGCATACCTAACATACGTGGCAATAAGACAATCAGTCTCTTTGAAGTTACATTGGGATCAAGGGCGAAATTTTGAATTAAAATTATGGCAAAAGTTAATGAAAATCTTGGGTATTAAAAAAATTCGCACTACGCCTTTAAAACAACTAGAAAGACATAAGTGGACAAATTCGAATGTAATTATAATTTTGAATTGTTTCTAATTCACTTTGTCCGATTCTTCTCGATCGACGATGATAAAATAAAATGTTGAAGTCGTGGACAAATATATAGTTTTAACAGTTACTGAATTATTACACGATAGTGGTTGTTGAGGTAAAAATGTATAGTAGGCTGCATCCCAAACTAGTCCCGAAGCTATATTTATAATATCATTAAAATACTACGATTCATCAAATAAGTGTATTGCCCTCTGCATAGAACAAAAAACTTTGACTTTTGAAGGCTGGCAAATATAATTTGTAACAAGGAAATAATTGCAGGCATTTCCTCAATAAATATTACGCAATAGTTTGCAGGAAGTTGAACAAACTGTAATTAAGCTACTAATCGATACGTTTTACCATTATAGACGGTGAAACTATACAAATTCAGGAAATTTTGATTAATGTGAGATTACAAATTAATGGACTAATTTATGGTTGAACAATAAGTAATAGAACTGCTTGCCAATACAAAAATCGGGATACTTGCAGGATATCTCTATTCCCGATAGCCTATAGAAGTTCCGAACATGAAACAAATGGTTATGTTTTATCGACAATGATGACAGAAAGAGAAATGAAGATTCTTTAAAATCTTATTTTTAAAACATTGCCTCCCTGCGAAGAAAACGTTCATCTCTGACGTATATCGAAAATTTAAAAGAAAAATTTAAACAAGTCTTCGAATTTGTTCGTAAAAGTTCAAAGCTTTATGGTGATACTGATGGTGATCTCGACGTACAAATTACCGAAACAACTTTCGAAAGAGGTGACCCAATATGGTTAAACGAAACGTAAATCCTAAACGTTAGAAATTACTTTGTCCGAAACTTCAATGTGCACCACCCTCAGAAAATTAACGATTTAATCTACCGTATCCAGTATTTGGCTAGAAGTAAACCCAAAGTAGTTCATATCGAGAGATGAGCCCCATGTCATGAAACTGATACACCCTGTTGGCTTCAGTCGGACCTTAATAGACCAGTTATTCAAGGCAAATAACTATAAAGAAGAGGAAGAGGAGAAAAGCGTAGAAAAACAAGAGGAATAGAATTGTAGGCAAGAGAAAAAAAATATGAAGAAGCGTAGACAAGGAGAGGCGTAGGAAAAGGTAGAAACCATAAATATTTTATCTCAAATTCACGAAAATTTTGAGTTAGAGGTAAGTTTATGGTTCTTCCGATGAATAATAACTTGTTTGCACTTGCACTTGTCTGCACACAAAGACTGCAAAACTTATCAACTGCTGCTTTTTCCAAAATTGTAATTCTATCTATCTATATAAGGATTTTTACAGCTGTCACCGCCTTCCTTCTTTCAGCGAATGTCTCCAGTCCTTTCTGTTCTGTCATTCTCCATCTCTAAGGCCTCGTCTTTCCATGGCCTCGTCCACTTCATTCCTCCATGATCTTCGGGCTCTACCTCTTTTCCTACTTCTTATTGGGTTCCAATCCAAAATCTTTGCTAACCACCTTGTATGATCTGTTCTTCTCACATGTGCATACCAAATTAAGCGTTTTTCTTCGATGTAGCTAAGTATGTCTTGTTCTAGTGCCATTCTTCGTTTTATCTCCTCATTTCTGATGCGATCTATTTTTGTCCTCTGCAGCTTCTTCTCATGAAGTCCATTTCAGTTGCTGTGGTTTTGGACCTGTTTCGTTTATTTATTACCCAATTCTCTGCTTCATAGGTCATTATACTGCGTACCAAGGTGTTATAAATTCTCTTCTTTGTATTTCTGGTAATCTGTCTATCCCACAGTACCCCGTTCATTTGTTTACATGTTCTTGTCTGTGCTAATCTGCTAGTTATCTCTTGCTTGGTGGTTCCGAGCAAGAGATAACCATAGCTAAAATTGTAATTGTACTGCTCTAAAAAACTGTAAAAAATTAGTCAAAATAACAATGTTGGGTTTTTATATGCTTTCATTAGAAAGACACACTAGAGATTTCATTTCTATTCTTGTACAAAAAAAATGGGGTGTGAAAGGTTTATTTTGGAAGTAGTTTGATCATTTATCCACTGTTATTCGTCTCATGTTTAATTTCTGACGTCATTTTTGTTATTCATTACTTTGTTTTGCCGATAATTTTACTTATATTTAATAAACACTATGTAAAATAGGCTTATTAATGTACTTCCTGCGTCATATAATGCAAAAAAATGCAAAAATAACAGATCTATAAAAAATTTATTCCTTAATTTATTTTTGTTCAGGTGTCATGGTTAACATAAAGTAGTTATAATTTTAATATAAGATCTTAATATTTCGCTACTTAACGTTAAATAACGTTTTAAATTACCTGATTTACCTTCAACCTCCATGACCTTTATCGATCATCGAATATTACGTTGACGACTATATTCTCTATGATAATTTTATTGACAGAAGCTTTTAAAAAATTAAGTAGGCCATTGCCCGCAATATTATCTTAAGTTTTTAAGCAATTATGTTCTTTTTTTGTCAGAACTATGTTTACCTTAATTCTTTTACTGTATAAGAAAAATCAGGGTAGGAACAGAAACGGCAAGGGCAGCGTTCTTAAAATTCAATCAATTCTTCTGTGACAAAAATCTGAATACTGCGCTGAGACTGAGGTTTGTTGAATGTTACGTCTGGTCCTAACTATTGTACGGGCTAGAAACATGGATGTTAAAAGCGCAAATAGTGCTACTAGTAAAATAAGCTTGAAACCTTTGAACTTTGGATATACAGGAGAATGTTGAATGTTGAAAATTGCTGAGAAGGACGAAGCGAGACAAAAAATTGTTGAGAACAATAAAAGTACGCAAGAGTGCATACTTTGGACACATACTGAGGAATGATAAATATAGTCTTGTGCAGGTTATCATGCAGGGTAGAGTCGATGTCAAAAAAGGAATAGGTAGAAAGAGGAAGTCATGGCTGCGAAATATTCGATACAAGACAAACATGACTGTAGACGAATTATTCAACATTGCAAAAGACAGAGAAACTTTTAGAAATGTGGTCGGCAACCTCCGTTAATGGAGACGGCATAGGAAGAAGAAGATAAGAAGAATCAAAAGTTCATATTCTTCAGAGTGTCTCGTCATGTGACCGAACTCTTCCATTTTGATTATTTTCATTATATTGACCAATTGTGTTATTTGGTTCAGCAATCGAAGAAACTCCATCATTTTGATTATATCGACCCAACTTATCTTTGCTGTGCTATATTTAATTTTAACGTAACATTGAGCTTTAACATATATAGGTCATATGCCTACCTATTTTGTTCAAATAGCATATAAAGGTCTTCACTGAAATTACTAACACTAAGAAAACGCCAGTATATCCAAAGTTTTTAATGGTTACGCCATTACCTACAATGTTTTATATTATGGTTCCCTTAAAAATTTCTTCGGAATACAAGTTATTAGGCAAGAATATGTAACTTTGTCGCACGCCTCTGTTTATATTTATTTATATTAAAGTATATGATGAAATCTTAATTATAATACGAATACATAATTTAAACATAGCAAAGCATTTTCAATAGCAACTGAACTGATTAATAATATGACATTATAGAGGATAAGAGATGGCGAGTACTATTATTCTACAGTTCCCAGTAGAGGACAAACTACTTCTGGGCAGGACAACCCTGCCCCTACACTAGCTACTGTATTCCTTTCTAAGCTCCTTTCCTAGAAGAAAACAGGTCCTAACAGGGAAGCAGTTGTGTAGATCCAGACTATGGAGAATCCACCCTTCCATAGGCTTGGTCCCAAAAACTTACATGCGGCCGTCACATAATGATTTAACCGGCTGTGGTACAGAAAGAAATGGAAAACTTCTGCATTAAATCTCCCAGAAAGTCTCCATAACAAATACAAATTATACTGCGACTATAATTCTCCGGTATCTCTTAAATAGGACAGGGGTTCTAGTTCTTTTAGTATAACAAGAGTATTAAAAATATCCGAAGAGAAAATTTAAAACAGATCATTATTAAAACATATTAAAAGACTTTTTTGAACTTCTTCAGATAGATGAGTTGAAAACGACCATTTAAGGATCTGAAGAAACTATGTCTCCTAAAAGCTTTATAGTACAAGATAAAAGAAAATGTTTGTATATAAAAATACAGAAAAATAATCAAAAATAAATACAGCATATATATATATATAAAAACAACACATATTTTGGTTTACATTCTTTAATTACGTTTTTTTTTTAGGAAAAAGGCGTTGCCTTGGAGAAGCTCTTGGAAAAGCTAACATCTTTCTCTTTTTTACTGCCATCCTGCATAACTTCTATTTAGTGAAAGCCGACGATAGTGAGTTAAAACTGGAGGGCTACGACGGAGTGACTATGGCACCAAAACCGTTCAGAGTCCGACTAATCGCTAGACAAGACTAAATGATCTAATTTTCATGTAAAATTTCCTCAAATAAAAAAATAAAATAAAAAGTTATGTATTTTGGTAATTCTCAATAGCTTTCTCCTTTCTTTATTATCATTTTTGTTAGATTTATTATAAGATCTTCAAGGTACTATCGAATCTACCTATTTTCCACTATAATTAAAAGATGAAAATTTAAGTGTGACGAAGATGAAGTGTGCACTTGTAAATTTGCGAAAGAAAAAAATTAAATAGGAAAAAAAACATTTTTTCCCATTTAGAAGAGATTTTTCCATAACACTAAACTGTTAAATAAGGTTAGCTCAATCTTTAACTTCAGAAAGTTAAATAATATCTTGATCTAGCAATTCATCTTTAAAATTGTCTTTATTTTGATCTCTTACTAGGTTATAGAATGTTGCTGTAGGTTAGAACGGTTGAATCCTCTCAACTACAGCCACTTCCATTGGATAAAATAGTACCTAAACCTTATGTTTCATACATAAAAAGTTCTATTACATATCTGGTTTTAATATGGAATTCATTATAGAAATTTTCTTCATGGATTGTTTACTGGACTCCTGAAAAAATGCTTTACTCTATAATAGGAATCTCCAAGTAACAGCCAATTTCTATTACCTCCATTAATACTTTTGTTAATTATAGCCAGGCCTTTTTCACATACATATAGATAATAGGAAGTTGCTTGTGTTGTTTGAAAAGAAGTAAAACGAAACCAAAATATCGAAAAGTGCTACCAAAACACAATAATACAAAAAAGAGGATATACAAAACAAAAAAAAACGAAACCACCTAAATAAGGACCTAAAATATATAGAAAGCCTCAACAGAAAAAGAATTCAAGGCAACCACAAGACAATGTACAAGTCAGAATGGCGACCTATTAACAACAAGGAAAGATGTATTGAATAGGTGGGTGAAATACTTTAAAAAAAGCACTTGATTTGGAGGAAGAAGAAGAAAACCTGGAAGACGAAAGAGATGAAGAACAGACAAGACGGAAGAACCACCAACGATTCCTGAAGTTAAAGATACAGTTAAAAAACTAACCAGAAACAAATCACCCGGAATAGAAAATCCCCTATCTGAACTATATAAAGAAGGCATATACCATAATGGCATTACAGCAGCTTATAAAAGAAATATGGACACAGAAATCCCTCCCCAATGAATGAAATATTTAAATACTTTTCACATTAGACAAAAAAGGAGAAATCTTTAAATGCTCTAACCACACCTGATGAGAGGACAAAAGTACACGTTTCTACAAAATATAATACAAGGAAAGATCCAAGGACGCAGAAATCCAGGCCGTAGAAGAATGTCCTGGAGTGTTTTGACTGTACCACTAACGAATTATTCAAAACAGCAGTTAATAAAATTAGAATCGCCATAATGATATCCAATCTCCGATAGGAGAGGCACTCAAACATGAAGACAGAGGAATTACGCTTCTAAATGCAGCGTATAAAATATTTTCCACAGTACTGTGTCACCATATTGCACCATATGCAGAATGGATAGTATAAAAATACCAGGCTGGTTTTAGAGGTGATAAATCTACAATTCATCAGTTTGCTTCAAATGATCTTCAAACTAATGAAAGAGCTAGGAATACCAAATCAGTTGGTAAATTTAACATAAGTTTAGTGTAGAGTACAAATTCAAGGGAAACTGTCTGAACTTTTTAAAACAAATAATTGTATTTGTATCTATATATGAATAGTATACTGTTTTAGAGGTTTTAGAAACTAATAACGGTGTTACTGATCATTGCCTCGGAAGCCAAGATCCGGCAGGGGAGAAGAAGACAAGGACTCTTAGGTCGTTAATCAGCAAATTCCTTGTCAAAAGAACGTAGATGAGAAAATAAGACTGTCCATCACTAGAATAGGAACCTTGAATGTTGAGAGCATGTTTCAGTTTGACAAAACGCACAATGTTATTCAAGGAATGAACAGGTTGAATATTGGTGTACTGGGCATCAGTGAAGCCAGGTGGCCCAACTCAGGTTGTTTTTCAACAGACGAAGCCCCAATATATTATTCCGGTAGCGAGAATAACCAACACAGACACGGCGTGGCAGTAATAGTTAATAAAAAATCTAATAGAGTGGTGGAATGCTATTTCCCTATCTCAGAAAGGGTAATGGTACTGAAGTTAGTGACATCTCATGCCAAACTAAATTTGATACAAGTTTATGCTCATACGGCCAAGTCCGACGAAGAAGAAGTAGACATATTTTACCGAGATATCGAAGAGGTACTTGAATAACGATAGTCCTAGGTGATTTCAATGCAAAGATTGGAAAGGATCAAAGCGGAAAGTGTATAGGAAACTATGGTCTGGGAAATCGAAACGAGAGAGAAAACCGTCTGTTACAATTCTGTCAAGAGCAGAACTTTATTATTACAAACACATTTTTCAAGTTACATGTCGTAATGCTGTTAAAGCCGTAAAAGCATATCCTGGATCAGACGTGGGCTCAGATGACAATCCACTTATCGCGAAGATTGCACTCACACTTAAAAATATTAAAAGACATCAAAGAATCCCTACAATAGACACAAGAAAACTTAAAAAACCTAAAGTAAGAGAATGCTTCCAACATGAACTGCATGTAAACTGCAGCAAATTGAACACAAACACAAGGCAGGCAAAATAAAATTACTTTGAAGAGAAATTTATGAAAATATCGAAAACTCAAAGAAATAACGAGAATCTTTTTATACACGGGACCAACGTCGAAAAAGTGGACAAATATGCATATCTGGCAACAATGATTAACTCCACAAATGATTACATTCAGAAAATCAAAATCAGAATAGAAAAGGCTAGAGCAAATTTCAACAAAATAAGAAGAATGCTATGTACAAGGGATTTAAAATTGGAACTAAGAGTTAGATTGGCGAGGTACTATGTTTTTTCGACTTTGGAATGGAATCTTGGACCTTGAATACATCAATGAAAAAACTGAAATCATTCAAGCTGTGGGTATATAAAAGAATTCTGAAACTGTTGTGGACAGAACACGTCACAAACAAAGAGGTTCTGAGAAGGATGAATAAAGAAATGAAAATTTTAAATACAATTAAAACAAGAAAATTAGAATATCTCGAACATATTACAAGTGGAGAGAAATACACCTTGCTCCAATTGATTATGCAGGGAAAGATACAAGGAAAGAGAAACATAGGGAGGCGTAGAATGTCATGGCTGCGTAACCTGAAAGAGTGGTACGGATGTACATCAAATGAACTTTTCAGAGCAGCCGTCTCAAAAGTCCTAATAGCTAAGATGATTGCCGACCTCCGCCGCGGAGATGGCACTTGAAGAAGAAGAATACTGTTTAATCTGGCTCTGGAAAAAGTTATACGTACGTCACAACTCACAACCACTATCTCAATATATAATAAATCAGTGCCAATCGTGACCTACGCTGATGATATATGGCATTAAAAGAATCAGCTACAAAAATAGGTTTAATAATAAACACTAACAAAACAAAGTATATAAAAATAAGTACGCTGACTAAGGTACAATATACCACGTTTAAAGTCGTCCAAAAATAAAATTATTTTGAATGGTAAATTACCTTTCAAAAATTGTTATTTCACCTGTGCATAAAGTTATAGTGCTACACTAGTGCTCACCAATATAGTCTGACGTGAGTACTAGAAATTACATTATTATAAACAATATTACCAAAATATAACCTGCAAAATACACAAAGATAAAACAAGTTTGAGTCTGGATCCGGAACGACGACCAGTTTTCGAACTGGCGACAGAGCCGGACTTACGGCATCTTAAAATATCATGACTTCTAACAATACTATTTTAAATAACACTACCTCAATCAACATGAATCAACCACAAAGCTCATCTTTAAACTCCTATTCCAGTGTAGTAAATTCCTTTAAACACCCAACAAAAGAACAGGCTATTGTCTTGTCAAGTATGGAAGATACCAAAATTCACGACTACATTATAGCAGTAGGATCACTAGTAGGACCACGTAATGTCATCTTCGCATCAAGAATTTCTAACAATCGAATTTGTATTTATCTTTCCTCAAAAAGCACGGTCGACTCACTTCTCCACTCCTACAAATTTGTAAACATAAAAGAATCACAAATAGAAATAAGAAGATTGATCACTCCAGCCGATAGACTCATTGTATCTAATGCATGTCCTACAATTCCTAACAACATTATAGAAGCAGAACTACAAAAGGTGGGTATCATTGCTGTGTCTAAGATGACTATTTTAAGAATAGGTATGCCAGAAACAGAATACAGTCATGTCCTTAGTTTTAGAAGGCAAATATTTATCACTCCCCTAGAAAATATCTCTATCCCCGATTCTTTTAATATATCACATGACAACACCCTGTATCGTCTGTACCTTTCCATAGATGGATATAACTGCTCAAATTGTAAAACTATTGGTCACAAAGAAACAGAATGTCCTCACAAAACTGATATCACCCCATTAAACCCTTCTCTAGCACCTAATTTATCTAGAACAACAGTTCAGGAATCTAATAAGCAAACAAATGTAACAATGGAAACCGACTCTATTCTAGTAACACCTATAACCAACACTACCCAAAACCCCTCTCCCAACACATCATTAGACTCAAACAATTTGACCAAAAATTTAGCAGAGGAAACATCTTCACCTTCTATAAACATTACCAGTAAAATCAATCAAGTTAAAAGACAAATATCGTCCTCTCCAGACATTATTGAAAACAATGCTCAAACTAACACAGAACTTTTTATGCCTCCTACTCTAAACAAACCTAAGAAAAAATCCAAAAAATCAGATAAAACTTCTTGCGATGAACTCACTCTTTCCCTTGAATCAATAAGGGATAAAATAGAGAACAGATCACCCGCATTTATTCTAAATTATAATGATATTTGCGATTTCCTAGAAAACACATTACATACCCAACATCCTGAATTAATCTCCAAAAATTTTTCCAATGA